GTGACGCGCGCAGCGCGCTCGAACAAGGGGATTGGCTCCATCGACCACGCCGCCAAGCGAGTGGTGAAGTTCCGCGCGAGCTTCGACTACATCAAGGAGGGCATGGACGTGCTGGTGGGGTTCGCGCTTTCCGAGGAAGGCCTGCTTGCCCTGCGGAGGTCCACGGAGGGCGTTGGGGTGGGCATCGATCCCGAGAGCACGGGCGCCCCCCCCAGCCACGGAAGCAGTGGCGGAGGAGGTCGGCCGTCCGATGGCGATGGAGGCGGGGGTGGTGCCAGGGCCGCCCCGTGCGCCACCCCCACCCCGCGAGGACGGACCTCCCCGCGACGAGGAGGACGACCCCAAGCCCGACATCGATGCTGAGAACCAGGAGCACCAGCTGACCGACGTCAAGACCGTAGATGAGGTCACTGACATCGAGCCCCTGCTGCGGCTCGGCCTCTTCAAGAACTCGCTGAAGCGTATGGCGCGGGCCTATGGCGTCCTCAAATTTGAGACCGTGCGTACCCACATGCTGGGAGGCTTGGGGCCCATCCTGGAGGAGAAGGAGGACATGGTGAGGGGCGCAGAGGCGCAGAGCGGAGTCCAGAAGTGGCTCGACGCGCTGCATGAGGAGCCAGAGGAGGATGTGGGAAGGCTGAAGAAGGGCGTCCTGGAAGCCTCGGGGATTGCGGACGCGCACCTGGGACACAAACGTGCCTGGAAAGATGAGTGCCAGGGCAACGCCGCGGCGCAGGAGGCCTACCGCCGCATGGGCGACTACACGGACCAGTTCTACCGCGGCAAGGGCTTCACGTTCAACATGTACTACAAGTGCTCGGCCAACAAGACCTGGGACAACCCCAGGGGATGCTGCTCGGTGATCCGATCGGATCGCTGGACGCAGCTGCTCACCTGCGCGCAGGAGGCGGCGGGGGAGACGGGCCAGCGCTGGTACTGCCACTGTGGTGCGCGCTACTCGACCTCCTACGGCGTCTGCATCGAGTTGATAGAGGAGGAGCTGAACCCGCCACGTGCGTACTACATGCACGCGGAACACCCCGAGGAGGACATCCGCGACTTGAAGGCCCTGCTGCGCTACGACAAGCTCAAGAGGAGGAGGTACCTGTGTTCAGCGCTGTGGACCTCCTGCAGTACCTGCCCAAGGTCGAGCCGCTGGCAGTGGGCACCGTCTTCAAGCGCTACGCTCCACACCAGCCGCAGTGGGAGGGCCACTATGCGCTGATGGAGGGGCTCTCCTGGGAGAGCCTGACCGAGTTCAAGTGGACCGACCTGTACGCGCAGGTCGCCTGGGGACTGAACGACCCAGAGTGGGCGGGCTACAGCAAGAAGTCGCGGAATAAGGCCAAGAGGGAGCGCCTGGAGATGGCGCACAGGGAGCTGGCGCTCTACGAGCGCCGCCACAACCTGCGGGAGGGCAGCCTCACGGGCGGCGGGGGTGGCACAGGGGTCGCCCCGCGCGCCACCCCCGTCCGCGCCGCCAGTGCCCCATCCAGCGGGGGGGGCCCGTGGCAGCCAGGACCCGCCACCACCGCCTGTCGGAGCCCCGCCAGCGGCCATCATGGCCCCTCCGCCGCCGCCGCTGACGGCTCCCCCAGCGGCGCCGCCGCCGCCGACGGACCCGCCACCGCAGACGGACCCGCTCCCGCAGCAGATCCCAAATGCTGCAGCCCTGAACGCGGCCCTCGGTGAAGATCTCGAGCGCCAGATCTTTGGGCCCTCAGGGCAGGCGGGCGGCAGTGGCGACCTCGGGGGGGAAGCGCAGGCGCTGCCGTCGCAGGCCTTCGCAGCCATTGCGCAGGGAGCAGGCCAGCCTGCCTGAATGATGAAGCCCAGCAGGTTCCAGGCCCTCGGCAGGCCACGTGAGTCCGTGCCAAGATTTCTTGCCTGCCACTTTCAGTAGCGCGGCGTGCCCACAGTGGCACCCCCTCGCGTGGCAGCACCTGTGGCTCCAGCCTCTGCTCGGCGCACGGCCACCCGTGCGCCTAGCTACTCTGGCCCGCCAACCGGCTTGCCATCTTGGCCTCTTCTCACGCTCACTTGCGCTCGTGCGCTTCGATGGCGGCACTGGGGTCGCCCCGTGTGCTGCTGCGGCGCCGCTGGCGCTTCACTTTGGGCCGTAGGGGCCGGCTGCCCTCGGCCAAGCGCCTGCCGCTGCATGCACGTCAGACCCGCCCTTGGCTTGCCATCCTGGCCTCTTCTCGCGTCTTCTTGCGC